CAACCAATAGTACAAACAAATCAAACCAAACAAGCAGAGCAAAGTGAGCAACCAAAACAGATCCCGAGTGCATAAGGCAAAGAAGCGGAACTCCAATGGGCCATGTGACCAGCGGTGTGCCAAAAGGTAAGGAAGGGAATATGGCAGCAGTAGCATAGGAGGAAGGCGAATGAAGGTGAAGGTGGAATGATGCCACAAAAGGAGGGGAAAAATGTAATATCCGATAGCGAATAGCAGCTAGTAAATAGTAGTGAATAGCAATGATAAAGGGTGTATAAAATAACATACATAGTAGAATCATAATATGGCATAATATAATGTGAATATGTGGTATACAATATAAGATATGATGAAGCAACCAGAGCCGTGGGAGTGGCATAACATGTAAAATAGAATAATAGTTATGTAATATAGCAATAAAATAATATAATATAACAATAGTATGATAGGATATAAGACATAAGATGGAATGAGAACATAAGAATATAAAATGCACGGTGTAAAATAAAATAATAATGAAAGTAAAAATATAAACTTAATAAACAATACAAAACAGAACTATCGCATAATTAACATAGTTAACGCACAGTATAGTGTGAGTTGACAGTCAGTACGAGTGTACCACCGTTCAACCAGTGCTTGCCGGCCCTCGACAGCCAACCGTCAACAATGAAGATTGAAAGCTGACTATCGGACCGGTTTTGCACCGCTTCGTTGTCGCCAAACTTCTCCTCGGGAATCGGCTCGTCTCCCTCTTTCTCTTATCCTTTCCCTCAATGTGCCCTCGCGCCCGGAGACGGCGGTGCCTGCGGAGCTCGCCCGACCTTTCCCATTTCCGTCATATTCATGTTCAATATCATTATTCTTTTCCTTCTTTCCCTTTCTCTCTGTCATTCCAGCATGCAGTCTAACACGTGCCATGCTCCATCCAATCCGCAGATCGTTTAATCCGATCACTCGCTGTGATAGAACTTCCTCACATTCCAGTTTAACACGGAGTCTACCGGCGCGGTCGAGTCCGGAGCTCACCAACCGGATAACAGCATTATTATTGCTTTTAACACCCACCGCGCGCCTAACGGCGCGCGCAACTTCCTCTCCCTCCACTGTCGGATCAACCTCAAGAACTTCGACCACAACAAATCTGTATTCAAAGGAGGCCCTGAGGCCTCGTCCAAGCCTTGTCTCGATTACCTTGACGAACTCCATTGCCTGGTACTTTTTGCCGGCCGCAAACGTGAACAGGATCGCACCATCTGCAGCTTGACGGATTCCCACGACGCTGTTTTCTCCTACGCAGTTACCAGCATACCTCTTGATTTTGCGCACAGTCTCAGTATACCTGTATCCTTTCTCCCTACAAGTGACGCGTACCACGGACTTGCGCCCGCTTTCAGCCTCTTCCGCCTCTTCTGCATAATTTTGAGGCTCAACCATCTCATCCAGCTCAACCTCGATCTCAGCGTCAGCAGACTCAGGCTCGACGGGCTCCACAAGCCCCACGATCTCTCTTTCATTCTCCACTCTATCACGCTTAGCATTGACATTAACATTCATGTTCGCATTCACATTCTCTTTCTCACTCGCATCATTACAATTATAATTGTTATTATTATTGTTATCATTATAATAGTTCTTCTTTTTTGCCTTCTCATTATTTTCCCGACTGTGATTCTCATCCCCCTCACCACAGTCATGACCATCTCCGCGTCCACGGTTGCGCCAGCCAGCCCTCGTTGCCCCCGAAAAACTCGCAACACTAGCAGCCCCAATTCCATCGGCACTCGGCACCGCCCTTACTCCAGCGGCCGTTGTTGCGATCTTTCCCTTTATTTTTGTATCAATTACAGTTTTAACACCCTCTTCATCCCCAAAGGCTGAGGACACCATACCCTGTGCCGTAGGTAAATCGAAATCTTCATCGTAATCACCATCCAGAATCTCGATGTATGAGCTAGGGCTGGTCTCATTTCGTTGATCTCTTTGACCTCCCCGTTCGCATGGCTTGGCTAATCCACTCGTGCCAGACCCGAAATCCGTTGCACCGGTTCGAAGAGGCAGCCCAGAATCCTCCCCGCCAGCACGGTCAACACCCGCATTGCTACTGGCACCAGTGGTACCATCAGGAAGCGCAGAAACCGCAGAGACCATCGGGATCGGGGAGCCTACCAGGTCCACCGTAGATTTCGGTATCCCAGAGGTCACAGGAGCCTTTGAGTCTACAGGAATTCGCGCAGCTCCAGGTCCAGATCTATTCGTCACTGTAGCCCCCCATATAGATGACGAAGCTGGCTTCGGCGCAGGCTTCAGTGCAGGCGTTGACGGGGACATGGTAGCCGTTGGCACAGCTCCAACCACCGAACACTCAGATAAGGCCTTGAGCCTCTTTAATGTTGAAAGGGACAACTTTGGTTGTTGTCGCTCTCGTTCCCCTTCCTTCACCCCTGATCCAGCACGTACCTCTGCCCGGTTGCCCGCCATAATGGCTGCTGTAGCATTGCCAGCAGCAGCCTCCTTAGAACGCGGAGGACGTATGACGTCACATCTCTTTATAACCGGGCCAAGAACTTTTCCCTTTTTCAATGCCGAGTCAGTGGAAACAAGGGCAGTAGCAGCCAAGATCATTGCAGAAGCAGAAGGACCCACAGCATCCCGTAAAGGGGTAGCATTATAAGCCCCCTTGCCCCCTCCATTGTTTCTCCTAGCATCCTCTGCTTTGCGCCTTTTTATTTCCCTAGCACCTTTATCAGCGTCAGAATCATGCGTCAAGGGCAAGAGCACCGGAGGAGGCGCGGGGCTTTCCGCAATTCCGGTACCCGGATCACTGCCGCTACCAGACTCCGACCATTCGATATTAAAAATTTCATCAAATCCTTCAGTAATGTTCACTTTGTTCATTCTACCGTCACCCGAGCCTGCCATATTGTGTTAGTCAGTTAAACAAACACACCGAATGGTAATAAACCTGAGTAATTCAAGTAGGTTATGAAGCCTGCCGATAAACAAAACGCGCAGTACGGGACGAAAATCGCACAACCATGCACGTATAATACAAGTAAAACTGTGCAATTATAGAATTATATAAACCGCGAAAACAAAGTAGAATAAGTCAATAAGTATATGGGTGTAGAAAGTCAGGTGACGATGGCCACAGTAGCAATAAATCAAATCAGCGGCGAGCCATGTGCACAAGCACAAACACCAAACCCTCACAAGTCAATAATGTCTAATAATGTCTAATAATGTCTAATAACCGTCAGAACAATTCCCACAAACCACAACACAGGACGAGCACAGACCAAAGCCGCAGACGAAGAAGGTACGCGATAAATTCAACTCGTCAGCCTTCCACTTGCAGCCTTTTATCAGAACACTGGAACGCTACGCAGCAATCCATTGACTTCACATCCAGCCATGAATACGCCAAGTCAAGACTAGTATTTCTCCCACCCAGAATAGACCATGTGAGCGCAGTCTCCCTTCGATTTGCCCGCCCATCTCCCCCCACCACCCACCCTGCGCAGTGAGCCAACCGAGAAGCCCAGGTTACCCCAGCCCGGATCGCCCGTTCCTAAAATCGCCCACCAAGGCTACAGCCACAAGCGCATTCCAGCCCTGCAAGAATATACCGGTAGATGTAAATACGCCCAAAACCCTAGTGGGAATAATTAAAGGTTAAGCGGCCAAACCAGCGAACCGTCAGCCCTGCCGATGGGCGACCAGGATACGGCGAGCAGCCAATCATCTGGCAGCAGCATGGCACTGCGCGAGCCGTCATGAACCTGATATAACTGGCGAGGAAGATGAAATAAAATCGGAATCGGTCATTATCATGATCAGAATGAAATGAAAAGAAAAGAAAATGAATTGGAGTAAATCAAATCCTTTCGAGTAAGTCACCTCGGCCTCGAGGCCGTAAACAGAATGAAATCAAGTGCAATATTAAATTAATCGTAGCGAGGTTACAATACGACTGCTATCAGTCTGACTGAGCTAAAAATAGAACCAATGAAATAACTGAACTAAAAATTGAGATAAAATAAAATCAAATAGCGCTCTCAGCGCACGCGCGTGTTAACCTAACGTCAGCGAGCGAATCATAAGTCGCAGGGTGGCACATCTAATGAGATGGGCCTGGCATGAATGGATGATTGGTCGCGTAAAATCAGGGTGGAGAAGGAGTCAAAGCCCAACAGGACAAATCATGTGCAATTAAGTTCCATAATTAACCAGAATAGAAACATGCTAGATTGAGTCCAATAAAGGCCGCCGGAGATAAATAAGAAACATAAAACGAATCGAAGGTCGGTCCGGCCAGGGTCCCGCTCCAACACGCAACCCAGTCCAATCCGACCCATGGCACATGGCAAACAAGAATCCGAACCAGACTCAACCAGCCTCACAGAGCCAGAGGAGAATCATAACCAGACCGAGATCAGACCATTACTAGACCAACCAGAATCCAGCGCATCCAATTGAAATAGGGTCACAATCGGCACGCTCAGAGCCAGAGGGAGATAAACGACCAAAGCGAGCATTATTGTTGTTGTTGCCCGTCCATAATCCAAAATGCCCGTAGTAGGGCTAACTAGGTTAAGTCAATGCACGCCCACCCAATACCAGTGCAAAGCATCAATGGCAAGTGAGCGAGAGGCAAGCCAAAAGACGACTACTCTGGCCGAACAGTCGGTCACAGCCGCACACAATAACCCACCTAACAGGTGGCAAGGACCATTAAGCATGGCAATCCAGCTCAACAAGTGCCAGACAGGTACAGTCCCCCTTCATATGACCGCACAGGTGCCTAACATGACAGTGAAAATAGAACATGCAGCGAGTTTACAGGGCCATCTATGAGGACCCTCACAATCAAACATCCATGGCAAACAGTCACCCGGTCCCGCCACCAGGCGCACATGTACGACATCCCAACCATCCAGCCGGCCGCAGCCCCGCAGGAAGGAGACGTGGCACCATCTAACAGAGATAATATTAACCAACGAATCCCTCCGTGAGGCGATACAAGTCGCCCGCAACACAGTGCAAGTCGAGGACAACATCACCCAACCAGGCAGAGAATAGTTAATTAATTCAATAAATTAAAGCAATTACATTAAATATAAGATAATGAAATAAAGTGGATACGGGTGGATATGTGTGATAGGCAGGCATTGAGCCAAAAGGCAGACTAGCAGCAGTTAGCAGCACGAATCAAGCGAATGGACAGTCATCCGCTCATGTCGGCCAATTTGCAGATGTATAAATAACATATCGTGCAGGATAAAGCGAGATAACATAAGATGAACATAGATGGGTAGTACGCAGATAAGTAAATAAGTAAATAAGTAAATAAGTAAGTAAGTGAGTAAATAAATAAATAAATAAATAAATAAATAAGTAAAAGTATATGAGTAGCATAAGCAATTGAGTAGCATAATCCATTTCCGCCATAGATAAGACAGGACATCAGTAATATCGGATCATGTCGGATGAAATCCGATCCCCGAGCCGTCAACCGGGACCCACTCTCAACCGGCGCCAACAGAACGGGAGCTCACCGCAAACCAAGGCCACCATCAGCCAGATCAATGGATAAGCGTTAGATGATTCGAACCAGGCAATGAATAATCCACAAGTCTTAGATCCACAATTGGATCCAGACTCGTATCTAAATCACAACCATACACAGATGCACCCGCCTCTGCATGGCCCAACATAGAGGAAGGTGTTGCCCTATCAGTTCAGTGATACAACTCTACCACCCATCAAGGCAAAGTCGTCTGCCAGCGCTCATGATCAAGAATGTTAATGTCAATATTAATGTTGTCTATTAGTATTCAATCCCACCCTAAGGGCGTCACATCCCTTCAGGTAACGTTACCCATCTCAATCCATCCATTAAACTAATAAATTGAATTGAAATAAATTGAACTAGTAGGCCGTCTAAAGTGTAGAATACCATAAAATATAAGATGGAAAGGAAAGAAAAGGAAAGGAAATGTAATCGATAATAACTATGACCGCCAGCCACCACAGCCAATGGTCGCGATGAACCAAGCAAATGTGAGCATGATATTGCAAAACCCATTCCGTGCCAATTAAGAAAGAGAGGGAGAGGGTAGTGATAAACGCAAACGCGAAGTATAGAATAGACGTGAATGCGTTTGCCAGCATAATGCGCAGCAAGTGCACCCAATGCAATGCACGCATAATGTGAGTATGATGTGCCAGAATATGAGTTAAACAGTGAATAGACATGTACTAAGTTAAATAAGAATTCCACAGGAGTCTAATAATCGAGGTTACCACTTCATTACTGCAACGTGGATTTAAAGCCAATTCAAAGCTGTAGTTCGTTGACGGTTCTTCCCACCCAAATGCCTCAAGAAATAGGCTGGCCATCGAGCGATATACCGAAATAATAAGCAGCCAGTAATAACTAAAGCAGCAGATTGGCTGGGTCAGTTGCCTGCCGCACGACTCAGTCGGACACCGTACCATAGCTAAGACTTAATAACAGAGATAAGCAATGTAATGGCCAATACACCAACGTATTCATAATAGGATTGTTGTAAGCACATACCACGAAGGCATTTGCGTGGATGAAACATCTTCAGTACGAAGGAAACCAAGACCAAAACCAAAATAGGCCAACAACCAAAACCAAGATAAGCAGTAAGAAAAGTACAATCAGCGACCGCCCATCGACCCAGCCGAACTGCGAGCTGCGAGTGAGAAGACTGATATTGAAAACGCGCCAGCAGCGAAGTCGTAGGGTTTAGAGGATTGGAGTAAATAAAATAATTGAGAGAATAATATATCAATATATTGTAATTAATATTAGGTGAAACTGAGTTTGAAATCAATGTGTTCTGAAGATCGATGTGGAATAAAACATTAGCGGGTGAATTCCAGTCTAAGCTCCCCCAGAGTCCCAACATCAAGAAATCAATTGCCCGTAGGTAAATAATGGGATCCGGATTCACCCCGGTACAACATATTGAGCTCACAGAGTAACTTCAATCAAATGCCCTTATATGCAGTTATATTAATTATAAGATTCGAGTATCGTAGAGTAAATATCGAACAAATATTGAACTGTACTGTACCGTCATAACCGCATGAATGCGTTATCAATGCGTTAAGTGAGTGGAGAACGCAGTACTACAATGCGCAATCCGATTTTACGTAATTCCATAACTCCCACAATCTGCAGCGTAATGATCCAGATCCAGATCCAGATCCAGATGCCCATCGAACTCATTAAGCCTGCATGGCAATGGCGCGCAATAATACGGATCATCGGTAAATAAATAGATAGAGCAGCAGGAAGCTGTGCCATGTAGGATGCATAGCTCAGCGTAACCATTAAGCCACCTAAAATATATATATATAAATAAATTCCAGAATCAACTTCTTATATTACATTACAATTAGAGTAGCCGCTCCTTAACCAAACAAGATCAAGCTCCGATTCCATTACCTAACGAATAAGAATAAGAATAGGGTAAAATAAAATAAGTTAAATTTAAAGTTGAGATTGAAATTGAATCAGCGTCACCAGAAGAATAATTAAAATGGCAAGAATAATTAAATGGCAGGGATGTTGTACAAGAAAATTATACAGAATAATATTTCAATAGATTGTAGTTAATATTGAGTGAAGTTGGATTTTAGGGCCAATGTATTCCAGCAATTGATATGAAGTAAAACATTAGTGAATAAATTCCAGTCTAAATTCCCCCGAGGTTCCAAGCACCAGGAAATTATTTGACCATGGTTGAATAATATGGTCCGGATATACCCTGGTACAACATATAGAGCTCACGGACTAAATTGAATCAAATGCAGTTATATAATTTAATTATGAGATTGAAATACTGTAAGATAAATATTGTAGATATTGTAGACATAGTACCGTACCGTAGCAACAGCATAATTAGTGCATTAATTAGTGCATTAAGCGAGTGGAGAGCGCCGTACCATAGTGCGCACACCCGTCTCTACGTAACCTCTGTAATCTGCAGCACGATGATCCAAATCCAGATATAGATACAAACATCCATCAAATTCCTTAGGCCCGCAATGATACCGCTCAATAATACGGATCACCGGCAAAAATACGGATAGAGCAGCAGGAAGCTGTGCCATGTTAGATGCACAGCACAGCGTAACCATTAAGCATCCTAAAAAACGATTCCAGAATCAACTTCTTCTTACATTACATTACAATTAGAGTAGCCACCCACTAGCCAAACAAGTTCAAACTCCAATTCCATTACCTGAAGAATAAGAATAAGATAAAATAAGTTAAATTTAAAGTTGAATTGAAATTGAATCAGCGTCACCAAACGAATAATTAAAGTGGCAAGGATGTTGTACAAGAAAATTATACAAAATAATATTTCGATATACTGTAATTAATATTAAATGAAATTGGATTTTGAAACCAATGCATTCCAACAATTGATATGAAGTAGAACATTAGCGAATGAATTCCAATCTAAGTTCCCCAAGGTTCCAAGCACCAGGAAATTAATTGACCGTGATTAAATAATAGGACCCGGATATACCCTGGTACAACATATAGAGCTCACGGACTACATTGAATCAAATGCAGTTATATAAATTAATTATAAGATTGAAGTTGAAATACTATAAAATAGATATTGTAAATATTGTACTGTACCGTAACAACAGCATAATTAGTGCATTAAGTGAGTGGAGAGCGCTGTACCACAGTGCGCAAATCCGACTCTACATAACTTCTGTAATCCGCAGGACAACCAGATCCAGATCCAGATACAGATACAGATACAGATATAGATACCCATTGAATTCCTCAAGATCACATGGCCCCGATACCGTGCAATGCGAACCACCAGTAAATAATAGAGCGACGGGGAGGCTGCGCCGTGTAATATGCAGCGACACATCGCAGCCATTAAGGAACCAAAAGTATAAGGAACTAAAATATAAATTTCAGAATCAAGCTTCTTATATTACAATGAGAGTAACCATTCCCTGACCAGACAAATTCAGACTCTAATTTATCACCTGAAGAATAAAATAAGATGAAATAATAAATAGAAATAAGTTAAAGTTAAAGCTGAAGTTAAATCAGCGTCCCCAGAAGAATAATTACATGACAAGGATATTATACCAGCAAATTATACAGAAATAATATTTCAATATGTTGTGATTAACTTGGATGGAGTTAAATCATAAATCAATGTATCCCGACAGTTGGTGTGAAGTAAACATTAGTGAATGAATTCCAATCCAGCTTTCCCCAGAGCCCCAAGCACCAGGAAGTTAATTGACCGCAGATACATAATAGGATCCGGATACACCCCGGTGCAACACATGGAGCTCACGGACCAAACTGAGTTGAATCGAATCAAATGCAATTATATAAATTAATTATAAGATTGAAAGATTAAAGTACTGTAAGATAAATATTGTAGATATTGTAGACATTATACCGTGCCGTAGCAACAACATAATTAGCGCATTAATTAGTGCATTAAGTGAGCGGAGAGCGCCGTACCACAGTGCGCACACCCGACTCTACGTAACCTCCGTAATCTGCAGCACGATGATCCAGATCCAGATACAGATACAGACACAGACATCCATCAAATTCCTTAGGCCCGCAATGATACCGCTCAATAATACGGGTCATCGACAAAATACAGATAGAGCAGCAGGAAGCTGTGCCATGTTAGATGCACAGCACAGCGTAACCATTAAGTATCCTAAAATACAATAAAAAACAATTCCAGAATCAACTTCTTATATTACATTACAATTAGAGTAACCACTCCCTAACCAAACAAGTTCAAACTCCAATTCCATTACCTGAAGAATAAGAATAAGATAATAAGTTAAATTTAAAGTTGAATTGAAATTGAATCAGCGTCACCAAACGAATAATTAAAGTGGCAAGGATGTTGTACAAGAAAATTATACAAAATAATATTTCAATATACTGTAATTAATATTAAATGAAATTGGATTTTGAGACCAATGTATTCCAACAATTGATATGAAGTAGAACATTAGCGAATGAATTCCAATCTAAGTTCCCCGAGGTTCCAAACACCAGGAAATTAATTGACCGTGATTAAATAATAGGATCCGAATACACCCTGGTACAACATATAGAGCTCACGAACTAAATTGAATCAAATGCAGTTATATAAATTAATTATAAGATTGAAGTTGAAATACTATAAAATAGATATTGTAAATATTGTACTGTACCGTAACAACAGCATAATTAGTGCATTAAGTGAGTGGAGAGCGCTGTACCACAGTGCACAAATCCGACTCTACATAACTTTTGTAATCTGCAGGACAATCTAGATCCAGATACGAATACAGATACAAATACTGACATCCATCAACTCCTTAAACCCGCATGGCGATGATACCGCACAATAATACGTATCGCCGACGAATAACGGATAGAGCAGCAGGAAGGCTGTGCCATGTTAGATGCACAGCACAGCGTAGCCATTAAGCGACCTAAAATACAAATTCCAGAATCAACTTCTTATATTACATTACAGTTAGAGTAGCCGCTCCCTAACCAACCAAGTTCAAACTCCATTTCCATTACCTGAAGAATAAGAATAAGATAAAATAAGTTAAAGTTAAAGTTGAAATTGAATCAGCGTTACCAAAAGAATGCCTAAGATGGCAAGGATATTGTACAAGAGAATTATACGAAATAATATTTCAATGTATTGTAATTGATATTGATTGAAATTTGAATTCTGAAACCAATGTATCCCGTCAGTTGATATGAAGTAAAGCATTCGTGAATGAATTCAGTTTAAATTCCCCCAGGGTCCCAAACACCAGAAAATTAATTGCCCATTATTAAATAATAGGATCCGAATACACCCAGGTACAACATATGGAGCTCATGGACTAAATTGGATTAGATGCAATTATATAAATTAATTCTAAGATTGAAATTGAAATACTGTAAGATAGATGTTGTAATATTGTACTGTACCGTAATAACAGCATAATTAGTGCATAAGCGAGTGAAGAGCACTGTACCATAGTGTGCAAATCCGGCTCTCCATAACCTCTGTGATTCGCAGGACAGTCCAGATCCGAATACAAATACAGATACCGATACCCATTGAATTCCCTACGACCACATGGCAATGATACCGCGCCATAATATGGATCGCCAACAAATAACGGATAACGGATAGAGTAACAAGAAGGCTGCACCGTGTAATATGCAGCAACACAGCGCAGCCATTGAGCAGCCTAAAATAAATAAATAAATAAATAAATGAATGAAATAAATAAATAATTATAAATAAATAAATAAATAATCAATCATCAATTCCAGAATCAAACTCCAACTTCAATATTACAATTAGAGTAGCCATTCCCTGACCACGCGGAGAAGACGGGACCCTAACCCTAACCCTAACCCTAACCTAACCCTAACCCTAACCCTAACCCTAACCCTAACCTAACCCTAACCCTAACCTAACCCTAACCCTAACCTAACCCTAACCCTAACCTAACCCTAACCCTAACCTAACCCTAACCCTAACCTTTTTTTTTTTTTTTTTTTGTTTTGATAGAAGAGGAAAATGCTTTTACGCACGCGCAGGTTATCCCCTTGTCGCACTATTCGGCTAGAGGGGGCCCGGGCAGTGTGGGACTCATATCCCCTGGCTCCCGTTGGTGAGGGCAAACCCAAAGAGGCAACCCAGAAGGGGCAACCTGATAGCCCAACCCTAAAGGGTGGGCACAAATGATAGCGGTCACATCCCGGAAGGGGCGACCCTGCGGCGCCCAGAAGGGGCATCCGCGGCCTGATATACTACCCACTAAAAACCTCTCCCCTGACGTAGGCCGCCGGTACCCTTTCATCCGTTGAGGATATTCCAGTTGTACCGGCGATAGCCGCGACGGCGCTTTAGCTCCCAAGCTTTCATGTTCGCTTTCGTCTACCCTCAATCCGCTATGCGCTAGGCACCACAGGGGATTGAGGAGCCACGCCGTAACACCTCCGATCAAGCGGTAGGATATTTTAACCTGCACGGTTTATGCGCAGGATTTTTCTTCGGCCACGACCAGGAACCGGAGCTCCTGCTCAACGGGTGATCGCGCCCCTACTTCACCTGCCTGCCATTAGCGAGGCCAGGAAACTCTCTCTTCGGCCACGATCAGGAACCGGAGGACTTTCCCACTCATCGGGTGATCGCGCCCCTACTTCACCTGCCTGCCATTAGCGAGGTCAGGAGCTTCCTCTTCGGCCACGACCAGGAACCGGAGGACTTTCCCACTCAACGGGTGGTCGCGCCAAATTTCACCTGCCTGGCACTACCCAGGACAGGGCTTCTTCTTCAGTCGCAATCAGGACCGGGATATCATATCACGCGGGTGACCGACCAACCTTCGTCCACCATGGTAGGTTGATAATGATGATGTGGCTTATCCTTGAAGTCATCACGCCCACCTGACCTTCCACGAGGACAGGCCATTTTTCTTCAACCACGATCGGCACCGGAGGACTTTCCCACTCATCGGGTGATCGGGCCGTGTCTTCACCAGCCTGCCATAAGCGAGGTCAGGAAGCTTTCTCTTCGGCCACGACCAGGAACCGGAGCTCCTGCTCAACGGGTGATCGCGCCCCTACTTCACCTGCCTGCCATTAGCGAGGCCAGGAAACTTTTTCTTCGGCCACGATCAGGAACCGGAGGACTTTCCCACTCATCGGGTGATCGTGCCATGACTTCCGCCTGCTTGCAATGTGTTTGCGAATTTATAGCTGGCTTTTGCCGCACTATTATGCCGCTAGTGAATCGGGTTTTAAATAAATGCGCTTCACTTTGACTAGGAGATAGTTTATTTAATACAAGAGCCGCTTACCGCGGAGGCTAGTGGTTACAAGTCACTGTTCGCGCAACTCGTTTAAAACTTTGAAAAATACTGTACTCGCTCGCCAAGGATTGTTACTCTAATTGTTCTAATCGCCTTTGTTGTTCCGGCTCCTTTATAGATTCCGGCAGGCACACGGATTTGTTTCACGGAGCTCCCGAGCGCCAATTAGGGGGCTCCGTGACCTTTTTATTGCCTTATTTGGTAATATGTTTCGCGACTTGTCTATGTGTGAGTGCCTGACACTCTTCCGTGCCGGGCCGGAGAGTGGGGCGCGGAGGCCGGGGTCAGGCCCTTTTTTCGTCTCCGCGTTCGACAGTTTTTTGCGACTCTTTTCTTTTTGTCCGGTTTAGCGCGAGATTGTTCTAGAACGGCTTTTATTTTCTGCGATTGTTAGAATGTATTTCCTTTCATTACAATAAATGTTTAATTTAATTATTAATAATTTGTTGGCGATGCTTTCTTTCACAAACATTTCCGCCCGCCTCGATCACTCGTGATCGACCGTGACGCTTGGTCGCTTCGCTTCTATGACAATGTACCGCGCATACTCATTCATTCGCACTCTGTGTTTATAAACAGTCTCATTCATTCTTCATTCACAGGCAGTCTGCATACTTGAGTGATCGGTCTAGTGTACTCGGTTGTCGCCGTTCTTACCCGAATCACTCGCACGAGATTATCCCCGCCCGTGAAAATCTCTGTTACCCTTCCCAAATTCCACTGAGTTGGAGGGAGATTGCTATTCCGCAGAAGAACTAAATCGCCGACACGCAACGACTCGCTCGCGATTCGCCATTTCGTTTTAGTTTGCAGTGTTGTCAAGTAATCCGCGGACCACAGCTTCCAAAATCGTTCATGGACTTTTTGTATTGCCTGCCATCTCGAAAGTCGCGAGTCAGCTACGTCTAACAACGAAGCGTCATGCACGGACATTAAGTGAGAACCTGTGAGAAAGTGACCCGGGGTTAGTGCATCGAAACTTTCCGGATCGTCACGAAGCGGACATAATGGACGCGAATTGAGGCAGCATTCTATTTTGCAAAGTAATGTCGAAAACTCTTCGAAAGTGGGGTTAAAGGAGCCTAGTATTCGTTTTAAATGGTGCTTAACGCTCTTGACCCCTGCTTCCCATAGACCGCCGAAGTGTGGCGCACCGGGCGGGATAAACTTCCACTCCACTCCCCGCGTGGCCACATCGTTACAAAATTCGTTATCCGAACTTAGGTTTCGTATTCGCGACCTAATTTCGTTGCACGCGCCTTTAAAATATGTGCCGTTGTCGGAAAAAACTTTCGAGGGCAGGCCTCTTCGTGACGTAAATCGCTCGAACGCGGCTAGGAATGTGGCTGTGGTATAGTCGCTGACTAATTCTAGGTGTACAGCCCGAACGCACAAACAAACAAACAGCGCGAGGTAACATTTTCGTGTTTTTTGCCCGCGGCCTTGTGAGACGCGGCATGCAAATGGGCCTGCATAATCGACTCCCACAATACTAAACGGGCGACTTGGGGTTACGCGTTCTCGTGGCAAGTCTCCCATTTGCTGCTGTAAGGTTTGTGCGCGCTGTCGAACGCAAATTACGCATTTCGCTATTAGCCCTTTTACTTGGGTTCGCGCGTGAATGACCCAATACTGCTGGCGCAGGGTTCACAGTGTCAGTTGCAGCCCTCCATGCTGCGTCATGATGTGCACGTGCCTCAAAATTAGTGAAGTGACGTGGCATCGCGGAAGTATTATCGGATGTTTCTCCGATTCAGGCAGAGGTGAGTACTTTAAGCGCCCACCCACGCGAATTATGTGATCTTTATCTAAATACGGGGAAAGAGCCAAAATTGAACTTTTAGTTAGCACTCCTTTTGGTTTAGCAAGTTCTCTCAATTCTGTTGGAAAGTGATTAGCTTGTGTCAGTTGAAAGCATTTAGTTTTTGCGAACTGTATTTCTGTCTTCGAGACGACCTTGCCTTTCTCTGTGTTTGGACTTTTTCTGCACGCGTTGTAGAATTTGTACACGTATACAAGTACTCTCAATAATTTAGGCCAGGAAGAGAAACGAGAGAAGATCTCCAACGGTTCCACCTTGTGATCTACGTTTGACACCACCTGTACCGAACATTCCTCGCCGACCTGCTCGTCCCTTGGAGTGAACCCTTGCTGTGGCCAGCTCTCCGAGGGATCTGACAGCCAGCTCGGTCCACTCCACCAGAGATCATGCGTCCTGAGATCCCTGGCTGAGCATCCTCGCGACGCACAATCGGCGGGGTTTTGCGTCCCTGGGACGTGACGCCACAGAGCCGAAGGTAAGCTCGTTTGCACTTCTGATACTCGGTTTGCTACGAAGGTCTTCCAGTTTCCTGGAGGTGCATTTAACCAATCTAATACAACCTTTGAATCTGACCAACAGACGATGGCATCGAGTTTGACTCGCAACGCCCCAAGAACAAAATTGATCGCCCGACTCAACAGCTCAGCCGCGCAGAGTTCAAGCCGAGGAATGCTCTGCACTTTCAACGGGGCCACCTTAGTTTTTGCATACAGCAGCGTAACCTTTGTTGACGAAGACTCTACTCGGATATACACCGCTGCAGCGTACGCTAAGTGAGAGGCATCACAGAAGCCGTGTAGCTACACCGTTTTTATCTCCCCTCCTACTCCTACCCATCTAGGAATCGAAATATCTCTTGTGTAGAAGAGCATTGAGTGAAACTTCTCACAATCGCGTGCTAAATCTGGAGGTAAATTGTCGTCCCAGCTAACTTTTGCCAACCACAACTTTTGTAAGATTATTTTTCCTTGAACAATAAAGGGTGCTATCCAACCTAACGGGTCGTACGTTTTTGCCAATAGCGATAAGAATGCCCGCTTCGTATATTTCTTAAGTTCGGGAGTATTCGTATGGAAATGAAAGACATCGGAGGAAGGGTTCCACTGAATTCCTAACACCTTAACCCTTTCGTCATCTTGCAAGGTTCTGCTAACCGCTAACCCATGATCCTCTGCTGGGATATCTTTGAGGAGTGACAAAGAGTTGCTTGCCCATTTCCTCAATTTAAACCCGCCCGCCATGAGCAATCGGTTCAGCTCATCGCGCATGTCTACTAATAGCGACGGATCGTCTGCACCGAACATAGCATCGTCTACGTAGAATTCGTCTAACAAGATGGCTGCTCCCAACGGATACTTTTCGCCTTCGTCTTTCGCGAGTTGTTTTAAGACGCGATTGGCATGAAAGGGTGCACACGCCGTGCCGTATGTGACGGTTTCCAAACGATAAGCTGCTAGCGGAGAGTTTTCTGAAGGACGCCAGAAGATACACTGATATTTAGTGTCTTCGGGTGCTACGCGTATTTGGCGGAACATTTTCGCAATGTCCGCCGTGTATACGAAGCGGTGCCAACGCCACCTAATCAGTATCGCAAACAGATTTGCTTGCAAATTGGGCCCTACGTGGAGGCAGTCATTCAAAGATTTACCGTTAGAGGAGCTCATTGAAGCGTTGAAGACTACGCGCAATTTCGTGGTCTGGCTTTCCTGACGCAATACAGGTAAGTGAGAAATAAAAACTTTATCGTTTAAAGATTCGGTTTCCCTGATTCGACTCATGTGACCTAACTCAAGATACTCTTGCAAAAAGGTCTGATATTCCCTATACACCTCGGGATTCTTCCTTACTCGCACTTCGGTTGACTGAAAGATTTTCCTCGCAATATTTGCAGTGTCCCCGACCGTGAGCTTGGGGTTTTTTGCGAACGGCAACCTAACCTCGTAACGTCCGTCGATACGGCGGCGGTGAGTCTCTTTGAAATGGTTTTCACAGTCTAATTGATCGCGAGTTAATCCTAACCCCTTTGGAGTCTCCTCTAATTCCCAGAATTTTTTCAGATTTTTATGCAGATCGTCGAGTATCTCAACGTGATGGACTTGCAGCCCCGATCGCAAGCCTCGTGTGTTGGCCCACACGATCCCGACAGGACCCAGCCAAACACGGTACGCTGCGCGATCGGGGTGCCGGGAGGACCTTTTACCACCCCATCCAGCATAATTTTGCCGTATTCGTTAGCCCCGATGAGTAAGTCAAACCCTTGAAAGTCACTGGGCTTTGGATCAGCAAGAGGTAAGTCGACTAAGTGCTTCCATTTTGAATCGAATTCGAAAGAACTCGGAGTGTAAGAGGTTAGACTCTTTAATACCAGAGCCGAGAATCTAATTTTGGCTTCCTCCCTATCTTTTAGATTACAAGAGGACATCTCTAGTTCGACCGCATGTTTTACCCTTCCCGCGCGGACCCCCCCTATTCCAGAGAGATTTACCGCGACAGGTAATTTTTTGGATTTCAAGTGGTCTGCTATGCGTTCGGTCACACACGTGACCTGCGAACCCTGATCCAGCAGTGCGCGCACGAGAATAGTTCTGCCGTTGTCCGCGGTAATTTTGACACACGCGGAAGGCAGCAGTGCTTTATTAATGCGAGAATAAGCTACATGGCACGTGGATGATTGCTCCTTCTCATCCTGCTGAGAAGTGGAGGGTAAATCAGTCTCTGCTGCCTTCTGCTGTGTTTCAGCAGCTCGACCGCTGCTGACATTGGAGTCGACGTTTTTAAAGTGCACCAACGTGTGGTGTTTGCCGTGACAGGCGACGCAGGCTGACTTTGAGAGGCATTTTGCTGTACCATGCCCCTGGTTTTAGACAGCGAAAACATAAATGATTCTCGAAAAGAAAGGCACGCCGTTCATTGACGTGTTTCTGCTTAAATTTGTTACAAGTTGCTAAGGCGTGGCTTGCTTTGCAGAATGCACACTTAATAGCACTAGAGTCAGTCTGATGTGACACTATAGACGTGCGTTTATCTGAACTTCGCTTTTTAATCTTTGACTCGTCAGTCTGCGCCGTCTGTTTGCTCGATTCAACCGCATCAAACGCGCGTATCCGGCAGGTTATGAATTCGTCCAATTCTGCGAACGATGGCAGCGCGGTGCTGCTCCCCAATTGAAGTTCCCAATCATTCAAGGATGCGCGGTCTAGTTTTGAGATTATTAGAAAATTGAAAAGGTCATCCCAGCTTGCTACCGGTCTCCCCAAATTAGTTAGTGCTTGACGAACATCGTTCGCCTTATCTCGCAGGTTGCGCAATTCCTTGGCAGATGGGCGGTTTATATTGGGTATTTCTGTGAGCGTTCGCAGATGTGAGTGGACTATTAGACGCGTGTTATCGTACCTTTTTCTCAGGAGTTCCCATGCTGTGGTGTAATTTGACTCTGTTACCGCGATATTCTTTAGAGTTAAGGCGGCTTCGCCCGAAAGACTGGATTTTAGATAATGAAGTCTCTGTACCCCTGTTAGTGCAACGTTCTGATCTACCAATGCCAGAAATAAGTCACGATAATTCTCCCACTCATGAAAGTCTCCTGAGAAGGTCGGCATTGTAATTTGCGGTAATTTAATTGAGTTCACGACGTTTTGCGAATTAGCAACGTGACTTTCGTCAAACGACGACTGCGCGACCGGCGGAGGCTTTAATTTCGCGAGGTATTCGTTAAAATAATCGCACGCTTCTTCAAATATACAAGATGTTTCGACAAATAAATCTTTGACAAAGTACTCATCCTTTGCAGTTGCTTCCTTGTCTGCCAGCGCGAGGATCTGCATGTGCTGCTGGACGAACTTCTCCCAGTATCCCCGTAGGTTGCTGAGCCTGCTGCTGGTGACGGTTGTGGTTCGCTGCGCCTTTCCCAGCTTAGTGAAGTTGTCCACTGCTCGGCTGATGAGACCCCTGGAGGCGGATTGAGCTGCGTACAGCTCCTTCAGGGACAGATCCTTGGAGGCCATGTCGGTTGATCGACTCCGTGTAGCGTGTTGGAGGGTATCGCTGCTTCAGTGAAGCCCAGGCACCTTTGCTGGCAAATTTGTGCGTCCCGGTATAATCCGGTAAAGGGTGTCGCTGCTTTTGAAGCCCAGGCACCGTGTTTTAAGCACAAACTGCACTCCCGATCACTATATCCGGCTCGAAGGACCACTTTTACTGTTTGCGAATTTATAGCTGGCTTTTGCCGCACTATTATGCCGCTAGTGAATCGGGTTTTAAATAAATGCGCTTCACTTTGACTAAGAGATAGTTTATTTAATACAAGAGCCGCTTACCGCGGAGGCTAGTGGTTACAAGTCACTGTTCGCGCAACTCGTTTAAAACTTTGAAAGATACTGTACTCGCTCGCCAAGGATTGTTACTCTAATTGTTCTAATCGCCTTTGTTGTTCCGGCTCCTTTATAGATTCCGGCAGGCACACGGATTTGTTTCACGGAGCTCCCGAGCGCCAATTAGGGGGCTCCGTGACCTTTTTATTGCCTTATTTGGTAATATGTTTCGCGACTTGTCTATGTGTGAGTGCCTGACACTCTTCCGTGCCGGGCCGGAGAGTGGGGCGCGGAGGCCGGGGTCAGGCCCTTTTTTCGTCTCCGCGTTCGACAGTTTTTTGCGATTCTTTTCTTTTTGTCCGGTTTAGCGCGAGATTGTTCTAGAACGGCTTTTATTTTCTGCGATTGTTAGAATGTATTTCCTTTCATTACAATAAATGTTTAATTTAATTATTAATAATTTGTTGGCGATGCTTTCTTTCACAAACACAATGCGAAGACAGGGCTTCTTTTTCGGCCACGACCAGGAACCGGAGCTCCTGCTCAACGGGTGATCGCGCCCCTACTTCACCTGCCTGCCATTAGCGAGGCCAGGACTTTCTCTTCGGCCACGATCAGGAACCGGAGGACTTTCCCACTCATCGGGTGATCGCGCCATGTGTTCCGCCTGGCATATATGAGCACAGGGCTTGTTCTTCGACCACGGTCAGGAACCGGGAAATCCTTTCCCCGGTTGACCGCGCCATGTCTTGGTACGCTGCGACCCTCGATGACTTGTCCCATACATACTCCAGACACACACACACCGCTTCCAAACATCATAGCATCGAAGTCCGAGCAACCCAAGCAAATAAAAGGAGGCATGCAGAATAATCATAAAGCAAGTAGGTACATGTGAACCTGGCATAATACGACATAATACAACGTATAATACGGCAAAACATGAGTAACCCATTCACTAAAAGCGTCCGCCGTAATACCAACACCAACTAGACACGCAGCGCCATCACACCGTCATGTCGACCAGAGAAAGAAATGGATCACCAACCCGTAAAAAACAGTCCACAACTGACACGAGATATTTGTGCCCTCCGAATACTAGGTATACTCAATGGAAGTGCAGGCAGGAATAACAATCCTGAACAATTATAAACATTTCTAAACATGATTGCAGTAAATGTAAGTAAAGAAAGGAAGGAAAAGAGAAAGAAAAGGAGTGGTCTACTGACAGTTGACAGGAAGCAGCCAAAATCAGGCTAAAACAGACGTTATCACATGAAAATACAGAAGACCACGCATCAGCGCAAGACATTATCCTTGTGAGCATTTATAGTGGAGCGACGGCTGTGTATCCACATTAGAGTGATAACACAGTATGATCCACAATAAGAGTAAGAAAGAAAGCAAGTACGTAAATTTAACAGAGTACAAGAGTACCATGTACAATGAAAAACGAAGCAGGATAGCTAATTATCATAAACTATCCACTATCAACTATCAATTATCATAACGCTCAGGACTATTATGCCGCCAACCCATTAATTTTAAACACTAGAATAGCAATTCAATATCAATATCAATTTACAAACAAGCGACACCGCAGCATCATGTGAATGTTGCCAAATCATACAGACTACATCCCCATTGTGACCCCATTTGTATATCCATGAAGAACTCAGTACAGAAGTAATAATGAAACAATATCACGATAAAGAAGTCAAGACAGCACTGTATCAGTGCGGCAGCAAGGAATGATTACATCAAACGATCAACTGGAACTTTGCATTCCAGTCAAAGTAAACCGCACCCAGATTCCGTCAAGACTTAATTGAGATCCAGCACGCCCTGTAGTTAATAAAATAAATTAAAATAAAATGAAATAAAATAAAATAAAATAATCACAGTTAAAGTTAAAGACAGCTGGCAAAAGCGGCAACGAGCAACCGCAGCAGCGAGAGATGAAATTAGTTAGAGGAGTATAATAGTGACCGCTAAAATGTACATGACAAACATTCGAATCAACTCAGCCACACAAACTGCGTTCAGCTCTGCTGTATTGAGTAATAACTAGTATAGGCGATAAGTAACCGATAATCGAGCAAGAGTGTGGAAGGAAGTATATAATCCCTTAGAGCGTAGACATCAAGTTCTATCAAAATATAATCAGAAGCGTAATATAATCATAGGCGTGACTGTGCTCGCTTACTTAAACCAAACCAACTAACCCATGCTCGCAACACTGTATAGAATGAATAAATAAGGCAGATGTAAATTCATACATGTAGTATGCATGAGATTGAACACAGCATAGTAATGACACATAAGTCATCTTGCCACACAATACAGCAGAAAGCGCCGCAGCTCACACACACCAGGGATTAATAAATAAATAAATAAATGATAATTAATAATTTGGCAGTACAGCAGCCAGTTTAATCTAATCTAAAGTAATTATATTTCATGTACGATTATGCACTGACAGATGCCAGAGCAGAAGTAACAATCATACATAACCGATGAGCATGGCAATGAAGGCAGGAAACCACGTGTAGCGAATAATAACCATAGACTATATAGTTCGTCGTTCAAAATTAGCTCCAAATTATTTCGTAGCGAACTAGGAAATCAGCAACGAGTGTCGGGGACATCCAGCAGCTCAAAAGAATAGTTATCTAAAAATGTGTATAAAAATGTGTATATTTTCGATAATAAGGTTACGAAGAAGAAAAACTTATACAGGCGCGACACCTATCAGCTAATCACCCAGGCGTTCATCGAGCCGTTAATAATACCCGGGAAAAATTCAAAATACAAAGTACAAAATAAAGTTTCGGATTCAAAATTAAGGCGTTAATTAATATAAATGTAGGAGGGCCCGCATCAGCCCCAGATATCATTAATGTACTCATTTACCATGGGACGATCATTCCTACCCTTAAAGATTAAGATCCAAGCAACAAAATATGATCTATAGTAAAGAGAGAGAGTACATCCGACAGAACATAAGGAGTAACGCGTACAACCGACATTAAGCAGATATAGCTTGCATAACCCATCGTAATCCCCTACATTATTGTGCCACCACCACAGTACTAATATATTTGAATATTAAAATGATAATTAAATCTGTAATTACTAAACAATTAACACACCACAGCGCATCATGTGAGTGCTGCTGGATGATACAAAACACAACATTATCACGACCCCGTTTAAATGTCCCTGAAGGAACTTAATATTTAAGTATATGATAAAATGAAAATAAAAGATTATAAAAGATTACAGTGACAATGATATGCAGAACAGAAAACTGAAAGGCCGAACCGTACTAGTGCGCCAATAAGAAATGAATATATTCAACAATCAATAATTGAAGTCGTGGAACTAAAATTAGAACCACCAAAAGGTTGAATTAACTCCCTGCATTCCTGTCAAAGCAAGCCACTCCCGGTCTCGTCCAGGTAGATTCAAATTCAAACACCCCATGCAAATAGGAAATAATACTTGGTTATAGTTGAGGTTAAGAGTAATAGACAGCAACTGTAGCAGAGAGAGTAGAAGAGAGAGTAGAAGAAGAAGAGTTAGTTAGGGTAGTATAATAGCAAACTAGAACATATAATCAAGCATCCAAATCAGCTCAGCCATACAAACTGCGTTGGGCTCCGCCGTATTGAGTAATGACTAATAATTAATATTAGCGATAAGTAACTGATAATTCAGCAAGAGTGTGAAAGGTAAAGTAAATGATCCTTTAGAGTGTAAACATAATTTAATCAGAATATAATCACAGTCGTTACTGTGCTTGCTTACTCAATCTCCCAAACCATGCCCGCAACACTATAAAATGAACGCAACAGATGTAAGTTCATACATGTAATATGTATAAGATTGAACACAGCATAACACAGCATAATAATGACACATAAGTCATCTTGCACACAATACAGCAGAAAGCGCCGCAGCTCACACACCAGGGATTAATAAGTGGGAAATAAATAATAATTAATAATTTGACAGTACAGCAGCCAATTTAATTTTAAAGTAATTATGGTTCATGAACGATTATGCTCTGACAGATGCCAGAGCAGAAGTAACAATCATACACAACCGATGAGTATGGCAGTGAAGATAGGAACCAAGTGTAGCGAATAATAACCACAGACTATATAATCCGTCTTTCAAAATTAACTCCCAACTATTTCGCAGCGAAATAACAAATCAGCAGCGGATGTCGGGAATATCCAGTTGCTCAGAAAGGATAGCTGAAATTTAGTAGGTTTGATAATAAGGTTACAGGTTGCAAAGAAGAAGACATGTACCGGCTCGACATCTACCGAATAAATCGCACAACCTGTAGACCAGTCAAAATTGGATTCATAACTCAAAACCGACACCGTGAAATATGCGGTGATGAAGAGCACTCAGTTGCTGGCAGGGAAGGCAACTATCAAGAATGCCCAGATAAGCTTGACAATAAGCAAATATGCCAAGCACAGAATCTACCGGGCAAATCATATAAATCGTACCGTGTTAAATCGTACGACATGTTAAGCAGTTTATCAATGATAGGCAAAGAGTCACTGAGGGATTACCCTGTGTGGGTATATATACTATATAAAAGGTCAAGTAACATCACGAGGTATACCGCCGCAAGCACCTACCGTTGATAAGTCAGTGACATATTCAAGATTAACGGCTCAAATGATAACAGAATACGTTATTAGCAACAGGGCGTAACTCACCATATTGCACGAAATATAACTAGCATGAACCAATTATTATAACCATTAAACACCACACTACATAGCTCCCCTATCTGTTATATCCGACCACTCCAACTTAGTATATTTATATATTAAACTAGGCACCTTAAGTTCCAGAACCACAACAACCTGCACACGGCAATGCAGCATGGGAGTGTCACTGGTTCCCACGGTTACGCATTATCATGACCTCATCTGCACCTTCCTGGCAGACTTGATGATGAAAATGCAGAAAAATAAGAAAGAACATTATTATCGGCTACGAGAGTCAGAGCAGAAAATTACAATAAGAAGCGATAAGAAACACTAAAATAGGCAGATCGAGCTTACAGAACCGAAATTCAGCCGCAAAAGCCAATATCCGCTCAGACTCACTCTTGTCATAGCCAGTAAAAGTAGGCTGCCCCCTAGCTCCGATCAAAACAATTAAGATACAACCACTGCAGGTAGTGGAACGGTAGTTAGGTGCCGTTGAAGTCAAGACTGCCACCGACAATAGGTGGCAGCACAAGCAGCCACAAGGGAGGAAGGAAAGAACAGAAACTAAAATAATTAGGAGAGCATCTGAGGATATCACGGTGTATATCAGAACATCAGAACACCCAATGCAATATCCAGGTACAGTCAGACGTGCTCAATTGCACTGAACTCCATCGCACTGAGTACTGCCGAAATAGATAACGAATAATATCGTAGACAAGGAAGCCAAGAGGAAAACAGAGCATTCACACAGAGCATTCACACAAAAATGTTACATTCACACCGAACAAAAGTACCCATTATTAATACGTAGGAGGAGCCATTCCCGACCGTCCATCAACATATACCGCTACATAGTAATGATGCAACCCTGCCGGCACTTGTTTCGCATCTGGGACCCATTCCCAGGTACCCACTCGTTTACTGGTCAATTGTGGATATCTAAGATCCCGAAACGCCTACGCACTTTGAGAATGAGACATGTGCACACCGACGCACAACCCCCATTGATCACCGGCCAGACTTGCTCGAACGCAGGAAAAGAAGGAAAGAAAATAAAACCCGTAAGCAAGCCATAAAAGCCATCGCAATGAGGCAGCGTCACCGGCTCGACAGGCAGACAGCCATCCTACACAAGACGAGCACCCATTCAAAGGATGAGTGAAATACGACCCGTACAACTCAGCCAACGAACAGAAATCGTGGAACCGAGGTCATAAGTCAAGTTCCAAGGCGGCCACGAGTCTTGGGACACTGGATACTAAAATAAACAAACAAAACGCCAGTCGAAGGCAGATACAGGCCTATCGACCGATAATCAATTAGAAATATAACTGAACAGCCATACGACAGATATCTTAACAACAAGATAAATATACAGGCGCAGCGGATAAAATCAATGCACCATGGTGCATTAAGAAATTGAGAAATTGAATTGGGTTAAAATAAAACCATGAGATCGAAGTCAGGATCAACCTCATCAGGATCAATCAACTCAAAAGTAAAATCAGGGTCGAGGTGCGAATCGGAGTCAGGATCGAGAACAGAAACAAAGATACGATAGAAGTAAGGATACAAGAACGAAATCGGCATCACAGTAAGTATTGAAGTAAGGTTGAAATCAAGCCACGACGAAAGTCGAATCATTCTCGGGACGTATTAGGAATAAGCATCAGACTTGGAATTAATTAATTACATTGTAATACATAATATCCCCTTAAATCGTACCATGTCACGCCATATTAAAATCAAGTAAGCAATCTAAAAGCAAACTGGAGCAAGCTGAGGTCAACCTAAATTTAGCAATACCACAAGGCTATCGTCAGCCATAGTCAAAATCCAATCAAGATAATATCCGGGGATAATTTAAGTTAACTGAGAATGAATCAAAGCCTAGCGGAGGCTAGAGATGGACTAAATAAAATAGCAGCAGGTAAGAAGGAAAATAGAATGAATAAAGAATACTGCATTTGAATAACGCCGCGGAGGCTGTGAGAGGATGTATGATGGCTAGAGGTAATAATCAGCATTAGGTGAGACGAAACGAGCTGGAGTCAAGCTGGAAACAATTAGGACTGATTGAAATACGATCCATACGACACGGTCAGTGACCGCGTCACAAGCCCAGGGTCCCTGAGTTAAGTACCAAGGCGACCCAAAGCCCGGAATGTCTGAAGTACCGAGGCGAGCGAGGGGCAGACAAAGCACACTCCAATCCGTCAGCGAACCAGGAAAGCCATGAAAACGCCTGTTCGAGCGAACTGTTTCCCGAATGTCTAAAGCCGAGTATCCACCTGTATCAAACGCCCGTATCGTATCACCGTTCCGAACCCTTTTGAATAGGCAGGCGTTGCCTCGTTGCATGCAACGGCGTGCTGTGGCTCGGCCAACATTTCTTCGTTTCTTGATAGAAACGGTTAGGCAATAGGACTGGGCCACTACACGCGAGGAGTTTCGTTTTGCTGTGTGCCGTTCCAAAGGAACGGAGGCAACGGACCCATCCGAAAAATTTCTTGGTTCTTTGCCGTTCCATCGAAGGAAAGGTTCATGCGTTTGCACTTGACATAGCGTTTCGTGCCGTCACTTGGGTTTCAATTTATTTGAAATCTTGCGGTATTATTGGATTCATTTCAAAATCGATGAAATTATTTATGAACTTAATCTAATTTTATGTAGATAAATTTTATCGTTTAAATATATTGAAACAGATCAATTATCTTCGGCGATACGCTGTACGTAAAACAGCAATGTTAATAATCACCTGTGTCATTATTGAAAAAGGACAATGTTAATTTTGCAGAGATTTTTCCGTTGCCGAGTATCGAAAGTTCTATTGGGCTGTGATACGGAGGTGAAGGAACGGGCCGATCCGAAAATTGTCGGTTTCTTGCTGTTCAAAGGATAGGTTCGGAGACCACTTGAAACGTAAAAACAACATACCCAGGCGAAGGCCCGAAATGCTATGTCAAGTGGAAACATGACACTTGAGGCTCGAGATAATATGATCTAGAATCGGATATATCAGTGAGATAATACTAATGCAATGAGTGAACTTTGTTATTTTTCATTTTTTTCTTATAAAACTTTTACCAAGATATTTGTGACGTTTTTTCTGATTAAAATGATACCAAACACGATATGATTAGGACAATTACAATAAAGAAACAGCATGCAGGAAATCGAAACTTCTCGCCTATAGGAGTTTCTTTCAAGAAACGAAGAAATGTTGTCCGAGCTACAGCACGCCGTTGCATGCAACGGGCCAACGCCTGCCTATTCAAAAGGGTTCGGAACGGTGATACGATACGGGCGTTTGATACAGGTGGATACTCGGCTTAACGCGACTGACTTCTGTCGTATTGCCATCCCTCTCTCATCGGCGCCCATCTCTCTCACGCCGTTGGCCAGCGGTGTGGGGCGAGGACGCCGGGAGAGAGAGGGAGAGGTGCGAGCCTGTCGTCGCTCTGCGACGGGGCTCACTCTTGTTTCAAGGAAACTCTCGCGAACGCTTTTCGGAGAATTCATATCCGCAAATCTCTCCTTTTTTCTTTTTCTGGCGCTTCGCTCGAACCAAGTGCTTCGGCGAACCGCAATAACGCGGATTAATTCAGTGAATAGAGGATTGAAATATAAACTTTTTATTCCTAAGACTACCTGTTAATTTATTAAATACAACGAGTTTTTGCTAAAACTACGCAACACGTTGCTGTGGAGTTCATTGCTTCCGCCTTTCCAAGACTCCTGCGCTTCGGTAAACGCGATCCGGCACCTCGCTCATTTTCCTACAGATTCCCAACCGCGGAAAATACGCCGCGGCGAAATTTGCCGGAACAAACTGGTCCTTCGAGCCGGATTTCGTTAAACGAACAACGGTGCTTCGGGAAAATCGCGCAAGTGAACTCAGTGCTTCAAGTGCATCTGGCTTTTCTTCTTCACCTGTGGAGAACTTCTTCGGCGATCCAGATCAGCGAAAATCTCCAACCAGGAATCTGAAAAGAAGAGCCGATTGAAAACCGGTTACGTAACCATCCTTTGTTTCAACGGCAACGACCACGCTTTGTGACGTCACGCCGAGAGCCTAACGACTTTGGGTAAGTCAGCGCGACTAATATTTACCAACATTACGGTACGCGTTGAAAGGCTTAGAAGTACGGTCTCAGTGGTTCTCTATCGAAATATTAAATTAAATTTCGCCTTGAATTGCGATCATGACTACGTCCTTTTCGGATCTTCTGCGTGAACAAGAGGAAGTAGCGGGGTGGATACAAAGATTCTGGGCTAACGTATGCAAGTTAGGAAAGGACAAGCTGACGGGAGCGGTTTTAGAGCAGAGACAGGGTTTGCTCAACCGATACTGGGACACGTTCCTTAGCGGACACCGTAAATTGATGAGATGCAAGGAGGCGAGTTCTAGTTCATACGTCAAAGAGGACGCCTTTTCGGTCACAGAAGAAGCTTACCTCGACGCAGCCTCCATGATTTCCCATCACCTGAAAGAGCTGCCGTCCCCTTGCTCCTCGCAAGTCCAACCGTCCAAGATTGCGCCTCCGCCCCACCCGCAACTGCCTAAAATTGAATTGCCGAAATTTTCGGGCGATCCGTTACAATGGGAGAGCTTTCGCGACCTTTTTAAAAGTCTAGTCCATGACGTCAGCCACTTACCTGATGTACAGAAGCTACTCTATTTGAAGTCTAGTTTGACAGGTGAGGCCGCCGAGGTCATTCGGAATACGCCGACAACGGACTCCGGCTTCAGGGGAGCATGGGACGATCTGGAAACCCGGTACGGTAACATTCGTCTGTTATCGTTTTCCCATCATCGAGCGCTCCTCTCGTGCCCACCAGCCCTGCAGCAGTCAGCTGGCGAATTGAAGCGGCTTTTAGACACTTTCCGCCAGGCGATTAGGGCGTACGTTGCGCTGAGGAAACCCGTTACTTCATGGGATGAGTGGTTTGTATACTTACTAAGCCAAAAGCTTGACAAAACTACTCACCTTGCTTGGGAGACTTCTTTGGCGGATAGCCGGGAAATCCCGCGGTTTCAGCAATTATCGCAGTTCTTGGAGAACCGGATCCAAGCTTTAGGCGCTGCAGGCATGACGGACCCATCGCTACACGCTGTGTCGCCGACCAGCTCCAAGGAAATCAAACCTAAAACAAAAGGAGGAGCATCAGCAAAAGGCGTTAACTCTAACGTCTTAGCCGCAGCATCAAAGTCGCCCCCGGCCCGGAAATGTCCGGGGTGTTCGGGCACCCACGGTCTAGGATTTTGTTATAAATTCAAGGCGCTGTCGCCGGCAAAACGCAAGGAGCGCGTCCAACAGCTGAAGGCCTGCCTGAGCTGTTTGAATGTAGGACACGAAGTGGGTAAGTGTCCGTCTAAACAAGTCTGTTTAGCTTGTAGCAAGCGACACCATACGTTACTGCACGAGGCGCTGACGGCTCCACCAGACCGTGAAGGCGGACAGCCGGCACGAGAAGACGCTGCCTCGACGTCTGACGACGCAACTCAGCAGGTGACTACCCTCTCTCTATCGGTTGGTTCAAAAGCCGTGGCCTTACTCGCAACCGCCAAGGTGAGATTGGAGGCGCCATCAGGAGAAACCGTAGAGGTCCGGGCCCTTCTGGACACCGGCCCCGATACCTCTCTCGTCTCATCGTGGGTCGCTCAGGCGCTACGTCTTCCACGGCGGGCGGTGCGAGTGGCCATCTCAGGCGTTAAGGACAATGAGGTTGGACACGCGACCGGAGAGGTATCACTTGTAGTTCGACCCCGACACACTTCGGACTTCCGATTACCAGTTCGTGCGTTGGTACTCCGCAAACTAACGTCGTTGCTCCCGAGCAAACGCATCGTGGCAAAGTCTTGGCCGCATATTACCTAACCCCGAGTACGGAGTTCCGGCTCGGGTAGATTTACTTTTAGGTGCGGATGTTTGCGGAACGCTCTTTGGTGACGACTCGCGCAGAGGGCCAGAGGGTACTCCAACAGCGAAACTCACCCCCTTTGGCTGGGTGCTTATGGGACCAGCCTCCGACGACAAACCCAAGGCGGAGACGGCCGCTCGGGTTCTTCACTGCCACGGCGAGGACTCCACAAGCCAACTCCTCCAGCGGTTCTGGGAGCTGGACGAGATTCGAGAACGGGCTCCAATGTCACAAGAAGAGGAAAAGTGTGAGCGTCACTTCCTCGACACCCATGCTCGAGATCCATCGGGACGCTACGTGGTGCGCCTTCCCTTCGTAAAGGACCCGCGGACTGCGCTGAAGTCCAACAGGACGACGGCGTTGAAACTCCTCTTCAATTGTGAACGACGCCTATCCTCGGATGCTACGCTGAAAGAGCAGTATCGAAATTTTATGATGGAGTACCTGACTTTACAGCACATGCAGGGTGCACCCGAAGAAGCGGATAAAGGGCCTGCGTGTTACCTGCCACACCACGCCGTACGCAAGCGTCACGATCCTTCTGCCAAGTTACGGGTCGTTTTTAATGCTTCTTTTTGTACAGCCACGGGCCAATCGCTCAGCCACTGGTCAGAAGCTCCAGGCTGACCTATGGATGGTATTGACCCGCTGGCGACTTTTTCGGGTCGTATTCACCACGGACATTGTCAAGATGTTCAGACAGATCCGAGTCCATTCAGAGGATACTAAGTGGCAAAGCATCCTTTGGCGCGCCACTCCCGACGAACGAGTGCAGGACTTTCGGCTTACAACGGTGACGTATGGCACGGCGTGTGCGCCTTTCCTAGCCTTACGGGTACTTGCCCAGCTGGCGAACGACGAAAGCAGCCGGTTTCCCCGAGGAGCTTCGGTGGTGCGTCGACACACTTATGTCGATGATATTCTCACCGGGGCGGATGATGTCAGCGAGACCCTGGCTTTGAAAAGAGAAGTGGTGGCAATTTTCAAAGCTGGTGGTTTCGAACTAAGCAAATGGGCATCTAACATACCGGAAATTCAAGAAGCCGACTCTTCTGATACGCGCCTGTTTCAGGAATGGTCCGGCATCAGCACACTAGGCGTGAACTGGAATCCTAGGGATGATGCCTTCTCCCTTCGAGTCGCAGCCGCTGAGCTGGTGAGAGAATGTACCACCAAGAGGTCCATCCTTTCGGAAATCGCAGGCCTCTTCGACCCACTGGGCTGGGCGGCGCCGGTCCTAGTCGTGGCCAAGATTTTAATGCAGGACCTCTGGATCCTTGGAGCGGACTGGGATCAGCAATTGCCAGAGAACGTCTGCACTATGTGGCAGCGTTTCAGAGGCTCCTTGCCGCAATTGGATACCCTGAAGATCCCACGCTGGACATTTGCCTCATCAGAGCCGTCCACCCAGATGGAACTTCACGGTTTTTGTGACGCCTCGCAGCGAGCTTATGCGGCAGCGGTGTACCTGCGGGTCAATAACAATGGGTCGGTAACGACCTTGCTTTTGGTCGCAAAAACTAAGGTGGCCCCGGTAAAGACTATAACAATTCCGAAGTTGGAACTGTGTGGAGCCACCTTGTTATCTAAATTATTGATTCGGGTCAAAGAAGGCATTAATATGTCTGGCCCGACCATCGCGTGGACGGATTCAAGTGTAACCTTACACTGGATCCGCGGCCATGCATCTCAATGGAAACCCTTCGTTGCCCATCGAGTCTCCGATATCCAGCACGAGATACCGGCGGACAATTGGCGGCACATCCGCTCTCCGGACAATCCAGCGGGCTTGGCAACCCGAGGAATGAGCCCAGCCGAGCTCGTCGACTCCGATCTGTGGTGGCACGGGCCGAAATGGTTGACGGAACAGCCTGAATTCTGGCCGGCGACCTTTCCGGAGTCCAACGAGGGAATAGAGGCCGAGAGAAGAGGAGCCACGGTACACGTCGTCAAGGAGAAATTCGGAGAAAACTTCCTGTGCCGCTTCTCCTCCCTCTCGCACCTTTTATCTGTTATTGCCCAGTGTTTCAGGTTTGCCAGTCTAAGCCGAGGGCAGCCTTGCGAGAAGGGTTTTGTTAAAGCAGAGGAGCGCACCCACGCCTTCCTAGCAGTTCTGAGATTCTCTCAACACACCAGTTTCCTGGAGGAGATTGAACAACTGCAACGGCACGGCGAGCTACGCAAAGCTTCACCCCTTTCTTCGTGTCGACCTTTCTTAGACAACCAGGGCTTACTAAGGCTAGGAGGGCGCTTAGAAAACGCGGCTCTGCCGTACAATGAGAAACATCCTTACCTTGTGGCGAAGAGATGTCCGTTGGCCAGGCTTCTGATACGGGACGCACATTACCGCACGCTCCATGGAGGTCCACAGCTTACTCGCAGCCATCTCATGAGAAGAGTCTGGATCGTCCGAGGCCGCTCACTGGTTCGATCCGAGATCGCCGCCTGCGTCACGTGCGCCCGGTTCAGCGGACGTAGAGCTGGACAACTGATGGGACAACTTCCACAGGAGCGCACTGCAGCACAGAGGGCCTTTTTAACCACCGGCGTGGATTATGCGGGCCCGATTAAGCTGCGTACCTCGCTCGGGCGTGGCCAAAAAGCCTACAAAGGCTACATCGCCCTCTTCGTGTGCCTGTCTACCAGGGCAATACATTTGGAAGCGGTGTCAGATCTAACCTCAGCTTCCTTTCTTGCAGCCTTCCGTCGCTTTGTGGGCAGGCGAGGACATTGCGCCACTCTGTTTAGCGACAATGGAACGGTATTCCAGGGAGCAGACAGAGAGCTCCGCACTATATTCCGCCAGTCTACTTTATTCTACCAGGAGGCAGCCGCATCCCTGGCATTAGACGGCACCTGCTGGCAGTTCATTCCCCCTTATGCGCCGCATTTTGGTGGCCTGTGGGAGGCAGGGGTAAAATCCGTAAAGCACCATCTACGGAGAGTGATCGGTGATTCCACACTTACCTTCGAGGAACTGACGACTCTCCTCTGTCAAATAGAGGCGTGCCTAAACTCGAGGCCACTGTACGCACTATCAGAGGACCCTTCGGAGCTGGCCGCCTTGACACCGGGTCACTTCTTGATAGGGGAACCAACCACCGTCCCCCCAGAGCCAGAAGAACCATGCACTGCACTTCACACACGCTGGCGGTTAATCTCACAAATGCGAGCACAATTCTGGAAAAGATGGAGACGCGAATACTTACAGCATCTCCAACAGTTTCCGAAGTGGCATCGTTACCGGGAGAATTTGGAAATCGGCAGCCTGGCGCTTATCCGGGACGACTTACAGCCACCAGCAAAGTGGTTGATGGGACGCGTCACCGAACTACACCCAGGACCTGATGGATGCGTTAGAGTGGTAACTCTACGCACTGAAAAGGGCACTGTTAAAAGGCCAATCGTCAAGCTGTGCCCCTTACCAGTATCGCCAACCGACGCCTCTTAGCATCGATACCAGCTAAGATACTTTAACTTTAACTTCCTTTTTCTTTTTTCTCTTTGTAAACTACCCAACCGCGGAAAATACGCCGCGGCGAAATTTGCCGGAACACGCCTGTTCGGTAAGAATCACAGTGACGACAGTATTTAGACGAAGGCAAGCAAGCGACAATAGATAGATAAATAAATAAATAAATAAACAGATCACTTAATAATTAAAGGTGGATAAATTAATAGATGAATGAAATAAAATAAAATAGATAAATAGAATGAATGATAAATAGAATGAATAAATGGGTAATTAGAAAGGAAAGAAATGAGCGGTAAAGGTAAAGGGAACAGGGGAGGAAACCCAGCTAAATGTTGCCCAGAGCTAGCAATCCAGGCAATAGCACAAATTAGGTTCCGAATAGAATATGGATTATTCCATCATTGTTACGACAATGCACCAATCAAGCGGTTCCAGCAAAATGAGTCACCATGATATCCAAGATGCCAAGACATCAAGTCAGCCTTCGTCCCACCCTCCACCCCCCTGAAAAGATTAATCGTAGGGTATAAAGAACTGCACGATAGCACCAATGCCCCCTGCATAAGTCCATACCGTTGCATTATTAAGGGAGGAATAGGTGAACATTAGTACCATTTTGTCGAGAAGATATAATTCCACTGTGCCCCTAGACAACCAACAACAACCCCATTACCGCTATTAGATTGACCAATAGGAAAAAGAAAGAGGGTAGGGAATCAACAATCAATCATAGGCAGAAACTACCATCGCTGAAAGAAGCAGCAGTTAATCGCTAGAATTAAAGAATCCCTTGTGTATAGGCCATCGAGCAGTTCAAAATCCCCCTCCAACCAACATCGCAGTATACGTTAGTCATTCGTATAGTCATGGGCCATGCGTACGTGAAAGAGTTTCCTCGCCATAGGCGAAGGCGAAAAAAGAGGGTGGGAGGAGTACGCCCCGTCCAGCAACCGGCTCCCGATGCTAAGTCCGCGCAGGCGCAGAGAAACGCGCCCAGTCCGGCCAATAAGCGCACAATCCCATCCTCCAATCACTGACCTGTACAGTCAAAATCCGCCCTCTAGTCTCGATCACAGAGAGCTTCTTCGCCCAACTCATTCGTGCACCATTCTCCAAGCAGATAGGAAGTGAAGCAGATAGGAAGCCAAGCACGTCAGAGGCAGAGGCAGAAGGATAGCTAGGAAGAGGCAACAGGTAAGCCAGCCACAATCAGCCATCATTAATTAATCAGCCAATCAATTAATTGATCAATCAATCAGTCAATCAACCATCAAGTCACCAATTCGTAAAATCGCACAACCGACACAATCCCCCCCCAATCAGCAACCAGTTTCATCAGTATACAAAACCAACTTGGCCAATTAGTCATTTAATAATTAAGCAATCAACCCCATCCGCCCCCGAACCCAACCCAATACAACCCGCTGACTGAAATTTACTCAATTTACCAGCTGTAGCGGAAAGAAAGAGAAAGAAAGAAGACCTAACCCTAACCTAACCTAACCTAACCCTAACCCGAACCTTTTTTTTTTTTTTTTTTTTTGATTTATAGAAGAGGAAAATGCATTTACGCACGCGCAGGTTATCCCCTGTTCGTCTATTCGGCTAGAGGGGGCCCGGGCAGTGTGGGACTCATATCCCCTGAAGGGGGGGCCTGGCACCCACTTGGTGGGGGCAAGCCAAAAGAGGCAACCCAGAAGGGGCAACCTGACAGCCAAACCCTGAAGGGCGAGCACAAAGGAAAAGGGTCACAGCCCAGAAGGGGCGACCCAGCGGCGCCCAGAAGAGGCATCCGCGGCCTGATATACTACCCACTAAAAACCTCTTCCCTAACGTAGGCCGTCGGTACCCTTTCATCCTTTGGGGATATCCCAGATGTACCGATGATAGCCGCAACGGCGCTTCTGCTCCCTAGCTTACATTTGCGCTTTCGTCTCACCTCAATCCGCCGTGCGCTAGGCAACCACGGGGGGTTGAGGATCCACGCCGTCACACCTCCGATCTAGCGGTAGGATGTTTCAACCTGTACAAGAAAGCACAGGATTTTTCTTCGGCCACGATCAGGAACCGGAGCTCCTGCTCAACGGGTGATCGCGCCCCTACTTCACCTGCCTGCCATTAGCGAGGCCAGGAAACTTTCTCTTCGGCCACGATCAGGAACCGGAGCCCCTGCTCAACGGGTGATCGCGCCATGACTTCCGCCTGCTTGCAATGCAAAGACAGGGCTTCTTCTTCGGCCACGATCAGGAACCGGAGCTCCTGCTCAACGGGTGATCGCGCCCCTACTTCACCTGCCTGCCATAAGCGAGGCCAGGAAACTTTCTCTTCGGCTACGATCAGGAACCGGAGCCCCTGCTCAACGGGTGATCGCGCCATGACTTCCGCCTGCTTGCAATGCGAAGACAGGGCTTCTTCTTCAACCACGACCGGCACCGGAGCTCCTGCTCAACGGGTGATCGGGCCGTGTCTTCACCAGCTTGCCATAAGCGAGGTCAGGAAGCTTTCTCTTCGGCCACGATCAGGAACCGGGAAATCCTTTCCCCGGCTGACCGCGCCATGTCTTGGTACGCTGCAACCCTCGATGACTTGTCCCATACATACTCCAGACACACACACACCACTCCCAAAAAGCATAGCATCGAATATCCAAACAACCCAAGCAAGTGAAAGGAGGCATGCAGAATGCCCATGAAGAAAGTAGGCACATAGAGTAGCCACTCCCTAGCCAGGTGAAGAACGAAACTGTGAGAAACAAGCTCAGACTCCAATCCTATCGCATGAGTACGATAATGTAGAAGTAAAATTGCCATTGGCAAGAGAGCGGTAAAACAAGCAGCTGTAGCAGAGAGAATAGAAAAGAGTAGAAAAGAAAGTTAGTTAGGGAAGTATAATAGTAAATATTAGCATATAATCAACACCCAAACTAAATTAACCACCCAACACTGCGTTGAGCTCTGCTGCATTGAGTAACAACTAAATAAGTAAGCAATGAAGTAAACCGGTAATC